TAATAATAATAACAATGACAATAATAGAAGAATAATTTTTCAACCAAGGATGATAAAAAAGAACAAAAATCTAATAAATCTACTTTTACTAATACAACATCAAACGAATCCACGCCTAATAAATTCTCATCAATTGACAATAAATCCAATGCTGCCGCCACCACCACCATTAATAGTGGTGGTAATGATCAATCAAAGAAACAAGGCGAATCTGGTAAAGCAGCAACAAAGTCGGAAAGCAAGTCAACTGATAATAAGAATGATACTACTACTACTTCAGAAAAAAATCAAAAACAACAAAAAAAAAGATTTCGATTTGGTAGATTTATATTTGGTGTGACATTTTTAGGTGGAGTGACGTATGGTGGCGCAGTTTATTATTCATTAAAGAATGATGCTTTTCGTAGTACGTTCACAAAACATGTATATGGTGCGGAACAAGTTGTTAATTATGTTGTGGACTTGCATAGGCAAGGAACTTTTGATAGATTTGAAAGAAATTTGACAGATATTACTCAGTATACAAAAGTAAAAGGCAAAGAAATTTATTATAATTTGAATACTAAGATATCTGAAATTTTGAAATCTGACGATGATGTTAAAAAAGAAGACGAGGAGAAAACAAAAGTGAAAGGCAAAGAAATTTATCATAATTTGAATACTAAAGTATCTGAAGTTCTGAAATCTGACGATGATATTAAAAAAGAAGACGAAGAGAATACAAAAGTAAAAGACAAAGAAATTTATCATAATTTGAATACTAAAATATCTGAAGTTCTGAAATCCGATGATGATGTTAAAAAGGAAGAACAAGAGAATATACAGCGACAGTTGAATGAGCAAATATTGAAGCTTAATCAAATACTAGCATCCAATGAAAAAGCTGTTGATGAATATATTAGAAGCAAGGAAGAAGAGATGAAAAGACAATTCGAAAGAGATAAACAAAGCATCTATAACGAATTTAATCAACAACTTGTCACCGAACTGAAGAGACAATTAACGAAGCATAAAGAAGAATTGAAGAATGAACTTATTAGACAAGCTATAAATTTGGAACGTGGGTGGATCAGGGATGTGAAGTTGGTGGTTGAGCAAGAAAGAGCAGGACGACTGGCCAGACTTGATCATATTTGTCAAAGATTAAAAATGCTTGAACTATTGAGCGTTGATAATGCAGAACATTTAGATAAAAGTCTGAAAGCACATAAATTATGGCGTACATTAAAATCATTACAGGAAATTATTAATAGTAAATCTGATGGCGATAAGAGACCGTTCAGCAATGAGATAACAATGTTGAAGAAGATAGGATCAGGTGATGAGGTGATCGTCACAGTTTTATCAACCATAGATGATTCAATCAGCAGTAATGGAATAGAATCGACCACAAACTTATCAAACAGATTTAATAATGTTAAAGAAGCAATTAGACGTGCATCTTTAATACCGGAAGGAGGGGGAGGAGTGTTTGCACATTTGCTATCACGTATATCATCTAGGCTGTTATTCCGTAAACATGGATTAGTTGAAGGAAATGATGTTGAGGCAATATTGGCCAGAACTCAATATTACCTTGACAGTAATGATTTAGATAATGCAACACGTGAATTAAATCAATTAGTCGGTTGGCCTAAAAAATTGGCAGAAGATTGGTTGAAGGCTGCCAGAAATCATTTAGAAATCAAACAGGCCATTGAGGTTAGTATATAAATAATCGTTTATGATTGTTAATTATTGGATGAATTTATTGTTGTTGTAATTATTGATTGGACTAATTAATTTATTTGCATGTAATATCATATTTTTTAGGTAATTGAAGCCCAGGCAATATTATCTAGTATGTCAGTTTCATAACGATGATGATGACGATGATGATGATGATATGCCTATCAGGAAAAAGAGTAAAATATTCATTTTAATAATAATTTTGTTTTGACATTTTGGCTTATTATTTAATATTTATTTATTTCCTTTCAAATGTATTTTATTAATTTTTTTTTGTAAATGTTTTAAATTAAATTTAATATCATGTGATCCACACGTTAGATTTTAAAAAAAAACCATAAGCATTCAATTCAATTCAGCTTTAAAAAGGGAGTCAGTAAAAAAACTTGTCCCGATTTTTTTCTGATTTTTTTTTTTGTAATGCTCAGAAATGAAATCGCAAGTTGTTCTTTTTCCACGATATGTTTAATCACATGAACGAGCTCTGAGGTTTATTAGTAATAGAAAATTAAACGTATACGTTGATCAACGATCCGAAAAGTTGCAATTAGACAACAATGAAATTAAACCATTAAAAAAAAATAGAATTTGATTCAAATAACAACAATCAACATTAGATAACTTTTTTAACTGATTTGATATTTTGGTATTTATTCACGTGAAGATCCAAAAACACATTCAAAGAATGTTGTAACGATACATTTTTTTGTTATGCCAATTCACTTATTTACGGAGAAGATATGCTTACTTGAACATATGCAACATTGAGAGAATTTCCCGAGATTAAACTTTGAAAACAATTTTGTGGCTTGTATATGCATTGACTGCGTCACAATTTTGTGGGAAAAAACACCTTGTCAAATTCATTGTTATCAACAGATATAAAAATGAACTCATTCAATTCATTTAATACAGACCAGGCAGTGTATAACAAATTTAAAGAAAATTGTAAAGCATAAAGTGATTAGTGTCTTACTAAAATCAGTAATGATAAAACCACACAACCGGGTACATCAGCATGGTAAACTTATTGAATGTGACCGCCAACACTACGGTTCGAAAGTACTTTTAAAAAATTTGACCACATAAATTCGCACTAATAGAAAATGAAGTACCATTAGGATGTTTATTTTCATTTAAAGCATTTTTCATTTTTAAAAATTATTATAGTTTTATATAATTTTGTCAAAAAAAAAATTTTTAGCCACAGTTGTAATATTTTAGCTCTTCGAACTACATATTTGCTTATTTGTAGCTTCATCAATAAATAATACAATTTTTATGGCTAAGACAGATTAATATGTATTTGCTCAAAAAGTTAAATCTTGGACATGATAAAATTAATTTTTCTTTTGTCTATCCACACATCAACAGATCTTATATAAATAAATACAAATAGAATGTCTAATTACAATCTTGTTTGACGAAATGTTACCAAAGTTGTAAAACTATTATGTCAAATTCGCTGCCATTAAGTTAAAAATGACGCAAGTAAAATTGCTTTAAAGGCTAATAAAATACAAAAGCCCACAAAAAAACTTATGAATATATATTCCAAGGTCTTTTTTATATTTTTCTTGAGTATCCCAATCTCCTTTGTTTCATCAGTTGTTCCCAAAGAGCCAAGTTTTCTCTCACACACTCATTTACTACTAAACGAGCATTTCTTATGTATATATTAATAACATGATATATGATCGGGATAGATAAAATCATCGGTTAGGGATTCGGTACTTGTTCCAGTATCAACTAATTTTAATGTATAATTATTATCAAATTAGTGTGTTTTTATAATATCTTTGCGATCAACGAAAATTTCATTAAAGATCTTCGCTTGAAAAAGCATAACTTTTGGTCCTCTCAGAGGAAAATAATAGATGATTAACATTCCAATAAAATATTTTTATTAGGTAAAATTAATCGTTAAAAAATAAAAAAAATTGTCTTCTTTGATCAAAGCAACAAGTGTAGTTGTAGTGAGTGCCTTGGTAAAAGGTAACAATTGTGGAGCTTTGGCAAAAAGCCACGTTTATTTGCCTTAGTGAGCAAGAAATCAAGGTTAGGACTAACGTTGGTCAACTAGTGAGCGTTAACAACGATTAGTGATGTAATTTGCTTTAGTGAGTAAGACTAACGTTGATTAACTAGTGTGCGTTGATGAAGTAGTATTATCGTAATCGTAAATGTAAGGCTGTTGAACAAGCTACTTATATTGTCTTGTAAGTAAACCAAAGAGAGTTTGCAATCGGATAATAAATGTAATCAAGGGTAATGACTAAATAAATCGATCGCGAGTGAATAAAAAGAACTTTATAGCATTGTAAAAAGGCCACCTTTATTTATTTACAATTATCTGGTACAATCAAGTGTGTTCACAGATTCGTCTAGATGAAAGAAAGAGGGAACCAAAGTAAATTTGTAAGCAAATTTTAATTGACAAGCACCGAATTATTTGCAATTAACTGACAAGAGTAGCCCGAAGTCAAGCCATGATTGTTAATTAACCAAAATGATACCACCATTTAACAAGAATCAAAAAATTGTAAAAGTTTATTATTATAATTTAGCTTTAAAAAATAAAATAAAGATAAAATAAAAAGATAAATAATTATAATAAATTTATAATGGAGATTAAATTCATCTTTCTTTTACTATTGTCATTAGAATCTAATGTTTAATTAATTAATTAATATTGTCAGTAATAATTAATGGATAGTAATTTCCAATTGATTAATAATGAAATTTTTATTTGCCTTTGTTAACGTTTTAGAGAAAGAGTTAAAATCAAGATTATTTAACGAACTATCATTACTTGTATAATTTTTCAAGCTTTTAGATTTAGCAATCTCTTCATCTAAGATTCTACTTGTATGATATGCATCTGGATGTGATTTGTGTATTTGTTGTGAATTACTACCACTGCTACCACCACCACTGCTGCTGCCATCATTATTAAAATCAATTTCAAGAAATTTGACTTTAGAAAATTTGAATAATCTTTTTATTAAACTATTATTATTGTTATTATTATTTTTCAAACTTTTATTTTCAAGAATTTCTTCAAGTTTGTTTTCAGAAAACTTCCGAAGCTCTCCACTAGTTGGTCTTTTTGGTGGATCCACATCCCAACACCTCTGCATCATTTGTACATAATCACCAGGCATTCCAGGTAATATTGGTGGTCGTAAACCTTCCTCACATATATCAAAAATCAAACAAGAATTGTGAGCTCTATCATCAAATGGTGGATGACCTGCAAATATTTCCCACATTAACATCCCAACACTATAGATATCTG